AAAAAAAAAAAATACAGATGCCTGGTTGAAACAACTCAAGTTTGAATGTCCTTCAAAAATGTGGACATCACAAAAGAACAGCAGCTGAGTGGACAGAATGACATTGGGGGGATTGAGGGGTGGGATGGGTAGGTAGGTGGGGGGGCATGTCTCAGGATCTTAAGACTACGCAGCATTTACGTTGCTGTATGTACAAAGAACTCTAGAAAAACTGAACGGTTGGCATAGTTAGTGTTGAATGTGGTGATGACCACTTCAATGGACAAATGCAAGTTTGGACAGTGTATGGAGTAACATATACATATATATAAAATTAGAAGTTAATGCATTCTAACTTTGCCCCCTCGAACAGAAACAAGCTTCTTTTTTTTTTTTTTTGACGTAGATGGAGTCACAGGAAGAAAAAACCAAAAGGCCAGTCTCAGTGCAAATGCTCCAGTTTGCGTAGCCGTATGGAGTTGGGAAGCGCTTGCTGATTATGTGCAGAGGACGGCTCCTCTTCTGACGAGCGGAAAAGCACCCGGCCCCGGTGGTTGAAAAGGTAGAAGGACGGGTGGTTCCTCAGTGTATCGAATGTCCTGGGAGAAAAAGAAAAGAAGTGGAGGTTTAAAAAAATATATATACATATACCATACAGATATGTTGCTGTTTTTTGAGAGAAATAGAAACGTTTAATTTGTTGAACTGCTGCTCATTTTAAACCCTTTACTTTCGTATGCGTGTTTAAATCCCCCAGTTCATGCAGCCATGCACGGCAGAAATCTCTGAGAATGTGCGAGTGTTTCTCTGTGGACTGGTTTAGGATTAATAGTCATTAATGCTGCGATGATGAAGATCTTTCTGTTGTATTATTGTTGTGCGATGTCTCACTCTAGGGAACGTGGGTGGCTACAGTTGCCCCTGTGGCGAAGGCAACAAATAATGACTCCACCGGGGGAGCTCCATCAGGAGCTGCACCAACACCTACTTGGTTTTTAGTTCTGAGGAGGCATCCATGTCCTTGAACTCTCCAGCGATGTGGACGATACCGTAACAGGTCATCACGAACGATAAAAGAGTCTGTAATACAATCTGTGACAGGGACAACAATCACATTAGTAACAGCGGGTGATGAATCCCAGTTATCTTTTTTTTAACCTAATCTATTAATCAAACTGTTATTTTTGGACAGGTTGCAAAAAAAAAAACTAACAACAAACCAAAGACATTAAATATACTGTTACAAAATATGAAAGACTCCTGCTTAGATTATTAAATATAAAAATGGCTCCAGACTAATTCAATAGTTACTCAGTCAATACAAGTGAAATAAAATACAAATTTTCTTTACAAAGACTTATATGCTTAAACATTCGGCTTAAGGTTAAATTAAATGTGCATTTCCACCGTGAATGTCACTTACATCGATTGGAAGAGTCTCGTTTTCCTTCTCTGTCAGTCGCATATAAGCTCGATCTGGTGAGGAAAGTAAAACCAACTGATGTGACAAGATTCATCTTTAACATTCTGGATCATTATTCACACAATTGTACACCGACAGTAAACACGTTATACACAATAACGTATTTACTGCAAAGCGCAATCTCAACATCTGCTTCATTATAGACAGATCACTCAGTTAGGTTTAGCCACGATAGCATATGGTTAGCTCCCGAGCTAGCATGAAAGGCCCGTCCTGCCGTTTTTAACGTTCACGTGAGGCGAATTGTTGGATTTAACAAGGACAAAAAACATCCGCAAACTGCTGGTAACCCTGCCATTCCATACTTACGTTGTGCTGCGGAGAAAGCCGCATGCGCCAAGGCAAAAAGTCCGATACCGACAACACCTTTCCAAAACGACGAAGCCATCTTGAACCTAAGTGATGAGAAACAGCCTGCCGTAAACCAGTCGTGTCGTAAATGCCGCAACATCAACTCGGGGTTAATCCATACTAAAACAGCAGTTTTCAAATGGTCAACATTCTACAATCCAATTCCAATTGAAAAATATATGTAATGAATCACTTTGGACGTTTTTTTAAAATGTTTTAGTTGTTTCGGTATATTTATTGATAGCCCAGCTTTTGGTTTTTGTGGTTTTTTGTTTTTTGTTTTCATTTTAATTTCAAGGCGTAAATTAGTGTTTTAGTATACATCTGTATTGTTTCAAACCCACTCATTAACTGTTGTAACAATACGGGCATGTCCTAAGGGACATGCGTATAAATAACAAACGTTTATATTTCCCTTTTTCCATTTTGGAGCTCCGTAAAACATCATTATAAGAATGTTTTCTAGAAACGACAATAATTGCATTTGAAATTATTTTCGAATGTTTAGACGCCGGAATTTCTCCGGTCCCTCTTTTACTTTGAAAGGACGTGCTGACTTCCGCCTGGAGCCCCGCCTATTCCTGTTAGCTCACGCAGCAGCGTTTCATGTGCTGCTACAGTTAGCTGGTTGCGCCTTGAAATACTATCTTTTTACTGTTTCATTCACACAAATAGATAAAATGGCAGAGTTAATTCAAAAGAAACTTAAATTCGAGGTAGAAAAATACACACAGATGCAGAAAGGTAGGTGTTTTTATTATCTCTTAATTGCTTGCTTTTCTGGTAAACATGCTAACTAACCGTATAAGGAAAACATGGGTTGCTAAAATAAACGAATTCAGTATTGCTTGTCTATTAGACCCGGTGTCTATGTTTGCATCTTTGTAATCGGTTTATTATGAATTAACGTTTTAAGTAACCCAGCCTATCATTGATCTGTAAATTATGTGTCTGTCAGATGTTAGCAAAAGCATGTCAGCCCGTCAGAAGCTGGAGACTCAGCTGACAGAGAATAACATTGTCAAAGAGGTAAGTCTTGTGGGTTTACATTATGTGTGTTGTTTTGGCAGCTGCTCGTTTTGATACACAGATTATTGCCTAAAATAAAATGTGGACAAATGAAGACGTGATCTGTTCTCCCTTTTACAGGAACTGGATCTTCTGGACAGCACAAACACAGTTTATAAACTTATTGGTCCGGTTTTAGTCAAACAAGATCCCGATGAGGCCAAAGCCACAGTTTCCAAAAGGCTGGATTATATTAACGGAGAAATGTAAGTCACTGCTGATGTTTAAAAAGACACATTTTGTGTAGCTCCTCCCCTTTTGTTCCAGGGTTGGCTTTGACCAAGGCATTTTATTATAGTTCAGTTACACAACAATCGAAATTATTATTGTTTTATGCTTTGGTCTGAGCACATTGGTCAGAATTAAACCCAAAAAATTGTTATAAGATGTTATCTAAACAGAAAATCTGTTAGCCGCAACCCAAAAAATTGTTATAAGATGTTATATAAACAGAAAATCTGTGTACGCCGCAAAAAAGCTAGTATTATATTCTCAATGTCTTTGTGTCCTGTCATTATTTTTTGTTATGATCCAATGTTTTTATTTTTCCTGATTTCCTGAATTTGACCTTTGTGTTTTGTCCTGTTGCAGTCAACGGTATGAGATGCTTCTGAAAGACCTGGAGAAGAAATCAGATCAACAACGAGAACTCTTGGCCAGTTTACAGCAGGAGTTTCAGAAAGCTCAAGGCCTGGCTGTAGGAAAAGCTTGAATTCATTTTTGATGCTGGACACAGACACACACACAGAAGCAAAAGTCAAATGGAACATTAACACTGTTTAAACCCAGTTCATCCGACCGTGTTAGTTCTGTGTATCATATGTCAATTTAAGTTTATCATGTAACAATAAATGTTTTCCATTAAAAGTCACAACTTTACTCTTCAACTTTAATTGAACCTAGTTTGTGTCTGACTGTGTGTGTGTGTGCATTGTTTTAATTACGGGGGCTGGACATGTGTGGCTGAGTGACCGCTGGAGCAGATGTTGCTCCTTCACTGACCCGCCCCTGAGGCTTTGTTCATTCAAATGGATGTTCCTGCTGTTACCTCCAGCAGAGGATTAGGACGACACACAATGATCAGAAACATAGTTGGAAACCTGTCACGTGACACTGTGTAGTGATAGTAGTAACATGTAGTGAAATGTATCAGTCATCTCCAGATCACAGTCCAAAAACATCCAAAAATTTAAATCATAGCTTTGTATGTGAGATGTGAAACACTGCCCTCGTCTGTTGACTGCCGGGATTGTCTCCAGCTCCCTCATGATTCTGAGCAGTAGATGATGCTGATATATATAATATTTCTAAAATATCTCTTTTTAAACAATTAAATAGCCATGTACTTAAATAAAAAAAATAGGCCACATTAAACCTGCAAGTGACCCATTCTGGGTCCAGACATTTTTTTTCTACTCCCCGTCTGCTGTAGGTCGAAAGGTGAAGACGTTTACAAGCTGTAATGTCTGTGAAGCACTTGCAAAAACACGGGCAGTGAAAACAACTTCGTACGTGCACGAGCCTGTCACCCTGGGACCCGTGTGTGTCGTTCACACCCTGACTCTGTTTGTGCTGCTGCTGTGAAACTGACCGACACGTGTCCAGACGGGCTCCAGCATGAAACGTAAAGCAACAATAATGGCATTTATTATCAATATTGTAAGTGGTTCAACGGGCGTCAATCTGCGCCTGTGACGTCACTGATAAAACGACGACCACTAACCTGTAAGTGGATACGTCTAGATAATCTGGCGTTGATTATTAGATATAATTTGGCGCCATTAACCAAATGGTGTTCTGTCACCTCACGTAACGTGTGCTGATGTGATAAAAACCACACCGTGACTGGAGAGTTCACCACTGTTCTGGGGTCAGTCCTCAGACACGGAGGTCGTTGTTTATCCAAACAAGATAGAGAATAAATAAAGACATTCCATTTTTATTTTATTATTTTAAAAGCCAAATGTTGAAATATAATTTACCATATGCTTGCTGCTTTATGAATTTAATCAAATTCACTTAAATCCGATTCTATTTTATTAAGACTATATTTATTCAGCGCAGGGCGGACAATAACCTCCAGCAGATTAAACCTCACGGCGGCGGATGCTCCTCAAGTGAAACCTTAATCTGATTCCGTCTT